TGGCGGAGAGCTGACATTTCATTATCACCAATGATTAAATACTTGAATTACCACAATATGATGTAAGCTGGTATGTTTTGATCAGTGGTTTGAATTTCATTTAAGTTAGATTAATTATATTGTTGACAAAAGAGAAAGCTGATGATAATGAAAACTAAATCAGTTAAAATGTTGAGAGGGTCAGCAGATACATGCGCTTTGACACTGATGAAGGAAAGTGTGTGTGAATATTTCTGTTAACTTTGAAAAAATGGCAAAATAGTAAAAAGAAACTTATGGGAACAACAACAGGTTTAGTATTAACCAACCGGCCCATTTAACAGACACAGCAGCGATTACATTCCTGCACTCTATGATACTGGCTCATAGTGAACACTCTATTACAAGTTGGTCCAATACGAGCTTTGCTGCCATTGGGCCAATCGAAGTATGCTACAAAAGAGCATTGAAAATATTAGATAAGAAACCCTTTTCATATCACCATTGTCAACTTTGAGATGAAGTTATACATGGCTGAGGGACACACAAACATGTGATCGTGTTTCATGCTTTATGTTGGACGTGAAAAAGAGTTCATGTATTACAAAAAGGGAAACATAGCGTAATGTGTCAGTGCAATATCACCACAGTCAGAGCATGTGTAATACTGGGATATGTGCAATATAACTGATGTGTTTCCGTTATTATTATCTATATTGTCCTCTGTTGTCCACTCCTCTTGTCATTGTTTGGTCTAATATGATGTGATCACTGTTTTTGTCTTTGTCACATGATCTGTAAATATTATCTCTGTATGTTTTTACTAACTTGTGTGTAACACCAACCTGCCAGAGGGTCTGCAGATGAAAACTAGCCCAAGTCTATAATCTGGCATATTTACATTTGTGTAAAATGCTTATTAATATGTACTGCCCCTCTTTCTAAAATAAATAAATAAATAAATAAATATATTAAACTGATGAGAAGCTGTGTTCACCCCAGAAAGCTCCCAGAAATTTGGGCAAATGTCTCCTGTGAAAATTTTAGCCAAACCAAATTGCAGGTCAGTTTAAAGCCGAAAAGTAGTTCAAACTCTAAACCGTTCCTGAGATGCAGAAATGTTTTCGCATAAAATTCAACGACTGTACTTCCAAACAAATTACACTTACAAATGCTTGTAACACAAACGATGAAAACAGTAACTGCAAAGTTGAGACTGAAAAGTGTTACAGTTAAAGTGATGAGGTGATAGCTGCCATTGGTGATTGTAATAAATGTAGGTTTTATTATAGCAGAGGTTCCGAAAGTGTCCCTAGAGCGGGCCAATAATAAGACCTGGGAATTGCACCACATGGGAACCATTGTCAGCTATAAATCATATCAGACAGATGCTTTAATTTCTTTCATTATTGAAAATTTGATCATTCTACTTAGGGTGCTGATCCAGAAACTGGTGCTTTCAAGTGCTTTCAGCACCTGAACCTCTTGCTTTAAGGAAAGTGTGACCATAACGCCTCTGTTGGCAGATACAAAGAAGAGCCTTCCTATGTATTTGCATGCTGATCGTAACTGTTTTCATAGAGAAACACCTTATAAAAAGCCTTATAATTTAACTTATACCTTTGATTCTTACAAGTGTGGTGTGTATTGCCAACATAAGAATGTACCGCATTAGGATTTAATGCCACATTTGACCTCTGACCTATCTATTTGACTTCTCATCTAGACTATGGTGAGGGTCTAAAAGATCCTAATGTTATTTAGAGCTATATGTTCCTTACTGCCATTGTTTGTTTTGGCAACATTTGGGAGATTATATACCAACATATGTGGATTCTACATATCACAATATAGTTTGCATACAAATATCCTGTCATCCTGTATCAATGTGAGTGATGTGATTTTGAATAGAATGACAAGCACACGTGTTCAGTCTAGGCTGAAAATGTAGACATTTGTGTGACAGTGAAACATGCAATATTCACAATATAATCTTTTAGATAATTTTATTAAATTAATAAAATTAATAAAAACATATCTTATTGGGCACTTTAAATTAATAAACTCAATTTACAGTGCCCAATAAGATAAGTTATGTATTAGTTGACAAAAGAGAGAAACCCCAATAATCTGACATTTCCCTCTGAGCAAGCACTCGGCGACAGTGGGGAGGAAAAACTTTCTTTTAAAAGCAAGAAACCTCCGGCAGAACCAGGCTCAGTGAGGGACGGCCAGCTGCCCTTACCCCCTGTGTGCCCCTCTGTGTATCTGTGAGCCCTCGTCTCTCCTTGTGTTTTATTCCATGTTTTCCCCAGCCTGTTATGTCTGTGTTCTCCCCGTGCTCTCTCTCCTCCTGTCTGAACCTCTGTGTACTTCCTGTTTTACTTTGACAGTCTCCCGTCAGTGTTGCATTTACTCCTGCCGTGTCTTGTTATGGTTATCAGTGTCACATGTGTTCCCCGTGTGTTCCCACTTACCTCGTTAACCCTCTGTGTATTTATGTCTGCGTCTCCCTCAGTTCGGTGTCGCGTTCTCCCTCATTCATGGCTGTGTGTTTCTCCGTGCAATATGTTATAGTTTCCAGTTTAGTTTGTATGGTTTTTCTGTCCAGCAATAAAGCTGTGTTTTGAGTTCAATCCTGCCTCCGTGAGCTTGCGTTTGGGTCCTCATCCTGCCTGCACACAGCTGCAACCATGACACTGTCCTAATAATTTTAAACAAATATTTACAGGCAATCCTGATGGATTGCTTACAGAACATTCATTTTGTTTTGTCTGTGTGCGAACTCCGTATACCTCGACCCACATAGGTTTTAAACATAGGTCTGAATAATTTAATGTGAACACCGGCTTCTGCCTTGAATGTTTTCCACTCGTGAATAATCTCTCTTACTGTAGAATGATGGACTTTAAGTTTTTTGGAATGGTCTTATAACCCTCCCCAGATTGATGTGTAGCAGCATTTGCTCCTTCAAGGCCATCGCTGATGTCTTTCTTCTTTTGAGTTTTGTTAACAAACATAAAGCTTCAGACCAGCAAACTGGAAAACCTTCTGATTTTATTGACATGTTCAACACTATCTGACGATAAGTCAATTTGGAGCATTTGCATTAAATTATTAGCAGCAAATGACTGCTTCTTACCCTTTTAACTCCAATGGAAACAG